TTATTTAATTTATTTCTCTTTACTTCAATAATTTCATAGAGCATCGTCATGGTATTCATATTGTAAAGTGTATTTTTGGAACCAATTATATTAAAGAAAGAAAATTAAATTTCCCTTATGTGTCTTGCCATTTATGTCAATAAATAATAAAAATTTATTTACCCATGAAAACATTCCAATTAAACTAGTTCTAGACAACTAAAAACGCTGTTTTTTTAACTTAGAGAAAAATCAATAGCACAATTATATATGTAAATGTTCACTCTGGGGATGCACATTAATGAACGGAAACCTTATTTAATATCATGCTTAACTTTGGAAATAATTAAAATTTATTTACTCACAATCTTAAATTTTTAAACCCAAAATTCAATGCAACATATCTAATATGATTGTATTCTAATATGTAAACGGGTCATTAAACTAACAACTTAATTATTCTTATTCTTACTGAACTACATAGATTATCCATCCTCGTTCAATGGGTTAAACAAAGATCTAGAGTGAGAGCGTAAAAAATTAACGAAGATCAAAATTCATGAAAAAGGAACAATCACGAATCTTAATTCTAAGTATATATTGTAAAATGAAAATAAAACATACAAAAAATAATTCATTTTTTCTTATAAGTCTTTACTTTGGTGCGTAGGGTTATTTTTTTTTTCCATTTTTCTTTTTGGTGAATATGCAAAAAATTGACTTAGTTCATCAATAAGATCTTGGATTCTATGGAAACCTATAAAAGTTAGGGTATTGGGTGAAATTTGGTATAAATGTCGTAGGTTATCAATATTATTGCCTAACCTAACTTCCATCCTTATGAAGGGGCTAACTCCTCTCCCTCTCCCTCTCCCTCTCCCTCTCTATATATGTAGGCAATTATTATTGCATGGAACTTTCCTTCTTTACGAGGGCACATGGCATGCCAAAGTTACCATGAGTATGGTAACAATAAGATCGAGGCATTGGTCAACTGAGTTTTTGATATAATCGAGTTTCAAATCCGAATCTTAAATAAATTCTTTTTTCTTTCCTTATGAAAATGATATTGTATTGGGTGAATTCTACCGCTATAGACCATTTTTGCCTAAGTACAAACTCAACACATGCTACATGCAAAGGGAAAGCTAGAAAAAGAAGGAGCTAGAATTGAAGTTTAAAATATCAGGGTCAAATTATAATTTCACTATTTCTAAAGGGACTAAAGTGTAGTTGTATCTTCTTTTTTGTGGGGTCGAGACCTATCAACCTTTGGAAACATGTATCGAATATGGTTCTAAACAAAGGGCTGCTAATACAACTTGAACTTTGATGCTTGCAAAGGCTGTAATTAGTCAATTAAACCAATCCGTGTTAATTATTATCGTTATACAATATTGACTTTCAGTTTGCTGCAATCTTTCGACAAAACATATTGAACGTGGCAATTTGACCATCATAAAAATATTGTAATAAATAACGAATAAAGCAACCCAAAGAAAGGTCTTCCATTGTCGCTTAAGGAAGAAGATGTAAATGAAAGTGGTGCAAATCAACCCCATTTGATATCAAACACTGACCGAGATGGTTGAAAGGAAATTATCAACATTAAAATCAATTTTAATAACAGAGAGCCAACTTTATCTGTCATCATTATTCTTTTATTTTAATCGAAATTTTTTAATTTAATTTATTTCATTTACAATCGTACGTTATAATATACGTAAGAATAAGCTCAGTCTGATGCAATTTGCATACATTCATATCCTTGGTAAAAATGGCTGCATGGAACACTTGTCACCTTTGATAAGCAGGTAGAACCAAGTGTTCAAAACCCTAATTAAGCTTGTAAACTTGTATTTGCAAAGCTTTTGAAAAAAGAAAAAGAAAAAGCAAAGCTGAGGGGCTACAAATTGAAACGAAAATACAAATAACATAAAGAGAGTAGGTCAAGAAAGTGGATAGTTAACCTAACCATGAAGGCATGTAATGATGGAAAAAAAAGGGAGAGCTTGTACTTTGAGATGATCATCCACTTTAAATACACCTTAATGAAACACATGGTCCAGCTCTACTGCGCCTAATCAATTCATTACTATCTCTACTATGAATTACTTCTTCTTTGCATCTTATTATCGTCTCCACGCCACTGTTGGAATCAGTTTTCTCAACCCAAATTCAGCAGAGATTTCATCATATCTGTGAATAGATTTGATGTATGGGTGTGCTTTCTGGTAATGCGCACGTAAATTGAATATGGATGAGGAGCAATAATAATAGACTGAGATTGTTGAAATCAAAATCTGTTGAGGGCAGTAGCTGGGGATATTTACATGCTCGAGCTAACATATTTATGAAGCAGGTTGCAATTTCTCTTGCGTTTGTGTGTATACATTTTCTGTTTAAGATTTAATTATGTCCAGAGTTAAGGTCAACAACTAAAACTTTTCATGTGAATAAATTACTCACAACTGTCATCTCCTTCACTTGCTTGGCAGTGACCCTCAAATGTAAAAACTTCATCTGGATTTCATATGTATGTGTGACTTTGCATGCATGCATGATATGATTACACATCCCACGTACATATATATTTGCTCGGTTGTTAAAATGCTTGGTTTTACATCAACCCCATGTCCTCCAACTAGCTAGAAAGATAATATAAAGTTCAAAAAGAAGGAAGTCCAGTGAAACGAATGATCAAGCCATATTTAATTTTAACAAGAATTTTGAAATGGCTGCTGCAGTAAATTAGATGATACAGTAGTAGTTATGTAATTGAAATTGTATAGCTATACTGTATAATTAATGATTAAGATATCAATGAGTATTTGATATAATGATAAGATATATTATACTGTTAATAAAAGAATTTAAATTCAAAATTTGAAGACGATACTATTAGAATGAACAGTTGCGCATTCTCAATATAGATTCAAGAGTAAGGATGGACATGGAATGGAATGGGTTGATTTTTCAATTGCTTCAGTCCCAACCTTCCCTCTATCTAATCGTGACATGAATTGTATTTTATGAAAAATATTTTTCATAAAATGTTTTACGATGTTATGTAAATCATTTTTTACTAGTTGATAAATTTTCTAGAGATCATTTATTACAAATATGAAATATAATAAATAATATTATTTATTATAAAAACTTAATATTATTATTTTAAAAATATTAGAATAATTTATTTTAATATTATTTATTTCAATATTATTATTAAAATATTATTTCTATAATTTTATAAATAAAAATATTAAGACTGATAAATTCTATTAAAATAAAAATATTATAAATTATATTAAATATATATTAAAATAAAAATATTATATTATATTTTTAAAATTATTAATAAATATATTTTAAGGATTTTTATATTAATATTAAATACATAAATAATATTATTTACTGTTAATAATTCAATAATATTATTTTTAAGAAATTAGTAAATAATATAAATTTTATTAATAATTTATTATATATTATTAAAATAAGAATATAATAGTATCGTATATTATTGTAATATAATTGAGTATATTATTGTAATAAAAATATTATTATATTATATTAGTAAAAATATTAATTAAATATATTTTAAATACGTTAATAATTAATATTTTAATTAAAACTATACTAAAATATTATATTAATATTAAATATATAAAATAAATATTATTTTGAGTATTTATGCTTTGAAGTGAAAGGTTCGAAAAATGACTTACGAAAAATCAAATCGTAAGTCATTTTCCAGAAAATGCAAAGAAAATTCTGTTGCCCGAGAAAATGTTTTACATTGACCAATATGTTTTCTTCCAACCAAACACTAGAAAATGAGAAAAACGTTTTTCGAAAAATGTTTTACGTGAAACAAGCGGACCATTGTTTCAGACCTAAAAACGAATCTATATTTTTCAAAATTATTAATATTTTAGTACTCTATATAATTTTTATGGTGAACAAACATCTAGACATTGATATCGTCGAATAAAATATGATTCTATTATGGTGGAATAGAAAATTAGAGCGTGTGAGTTTAGTTTTATCCTAAATCTGATTTTATTCCAATTTCGATTCGTTATCTGAACTTACCTGGAACTCAAATTTCTTTCAAATAATTCGGCTATCCCTATACGAGGAATAAGATGTAAAACCATTTCATCCCCTTTATTTGAGAGGGCCAAAGCCCAATAAAACTTGGTACCCTAATTTTCTATGTACAAAAGGAGGGCTTCCCTGTCCAATTTGATTAGCTCTCTCATAAACTAATAATTTCTTTAAAATAATAACTTTTCTCAGTTCCGAGTTGACTTTAATAATTTTAATAAATTAATAATTTTGCAGAATATCTTTATATAAATTTATGACACTTTCAATATTATAAATTAATAATTATATAAAATTAAAAATATAATTAGTACAACAGAGTAAAATATTATTATATTTTCGTTTGCTTCTTAAAATGTAAATTTACTTATATTTTATTTCTAATTTTCCTTACTGCATCAAAAAAAAATTCTAATGTTGTATTCTCATATTGAAACAAAAAATTATGAATAGCTACTGCCGCTATAAGTGCTTCCTTCTGCTTCCGCATAATTGATTGTGAATATATTATATCATTTTCAGTTTCATCCTCAGTTAATCACATTGTACATTAAGAATAATGTAAATATTTTATCCATGAAGAATAAGGTAAATTCATTGATCCAGAAAAAAAAATATTTAAATTAATAAATTATTAATTTATCAATAATTAATTTATTTTTAAATTAATAAAATTACGTGATCCCACATTATTAATTTATAAAAGTTTTACTGTATACAAGTTGATTTTTAGGCTAATCAAATGGTTGTAGTTTAACGAAACAACACTTGACCATTGTTTCCTTGGCTTGAAGGGTTACAATTTCTTTGCTTTGGTTGCTAAACTCATGTTTTTCAACGGGAATTGAGTTGACTCGGTTCAAATATGCCTTAAAAACACTCTCATTAGAACAGGTAAATAGCAACATAAATAAAAGCACATCCATACATTGCTTTATTTGAACATAATATTCAAACACAACTGAGATTAACATGTAAAAAGGTAACACATGCCGCAGTTAGACCCAACAATCCACTTATTCAAATTACGGCTGCAAATATATAATACGAGTCTCTTTAACACACCCCTATCCTCTTACTTTCCACAAAACCCCTCCATTGTTTAGTGACCTTCTCTAGAATCATTCTCTCAGTCCTTTTAGCTGCCTCCCCACCCTTACTCCCCTCTGCCACTGCTTCGGCAACAGCACCGACGTGGGAATCCTTCACGACGATATGACTTGGAAGTGAGTCTAGTTCCTTCAGCACCTCCTTGATATGTGAGATAAGTCTCTCGGCCAGGCTGCGACCAAAGTCCTCCCTAACAACCACACGCATAACGGCGATGTGTTGGGCATCTGCAGGCATCGTATACGCTGGAACAATCCACCCGAACTTCCTCAAACTATCGGATATCTGAAACACTGTGTATTTACTGCTGTCTTTCAGAGCAAAAGCCACCAGGGGAACGCCGACGTCCTTGGAGACTACTTCGAATCGTCCTGTGCTTTCAATCCCTTCCTTCAGAACTCTTGCATTGTCAATGCAATTTTCCATGATATTCTTGTATCCCTTTTATTGAAAAAAAAATATATAAAGAGAGAACCATGACCAAAGATCAAAATGAAACACAACTTTCACATCCTTGACAGTTTATATCAAAATTTTCCTAGAATTTACCTCGAAACCAAGCCGAATAAGCTGATAATATTGAGCTATGATTTGACTGGAGCCTGCAACAAGGGAGAAGAAAATGATAATCGTTAACATATATACAAGCATATGAATTCTTCTCCTACACATCAATTTAGGTAGCTGCAATAAGATCGATTCTACGCCTCAGCAATCGAGTTAAAATAGTTCACTTACAAAGGTGATGAATGAATGCACAAAGATGCTACCTTTAGAGAAGTTTAAGGTGAAAGTAGGCTGATCGGATCCAAGGTAGTTGATGTGAAAGACGAGATCGTCGGGCAAATCCTCCTTACTTCTCCACACAACCCAGCCAACACCGGCATAGACAAGGCCATACTTGTGCCCGCTGACATTGATGCTTTTTACTAATGGCAGGCGGAAATCCCACTCAATATCAGGGTAAACAAAGGGAGCAATGAAGCCTCCACTGGCAGCATCCACATGTATTGGGGTATCCCAACCCGTTTCCTTGTTCTTGTTGGTCAGAAGTTCATTAAGGAGCTTCACATTCTCAAACTCCCCGGTCAGGGTAGATCCCAGAATGGCTGCCACGCATATGGTGTTCTCATCGACCATATCAACTGCTTTCACAGGGTCCATCACATAATATCCCTCTCTCAGGTTAACCTCCTTCAGCTCCACCTCGAAATACCTCGCGAACTTCTCCCAGCAAACCTGTGTAGCATATTCGAACAACGTTTCACATCAACTCAACAATGCAGCATTGCCGGTGAAAGGCGAAAAAGGTTACCTGCACGTTCGCTCCCGTAACTATGTTGGGCTTATCATAGGGTTTGCCCTGTGATTTTCTCTTCTCCTGCCACTTCCTTTTAAAGGCTAAGCCTGCAAGCATTATTGCCTCAGAGGAACCAACGGTCCCGACACCGACTGCTGTCTCCCCGCTCTCGGTTGGAGCATTGAATAAGTTTGCTATCATGTTTACACATCGATTCTATAGAGCCAAAGCAAATATCGGTTCAATAATACCAAGGCAAGCATCAATGCATGTCTTTTTTTCTTTAACAGAAGCAGACCAATGTACCTGGAGCTCAGTGGTAACAGGGTATTCATCCATGTCGACATAGTTCTTGTTTATCGAAGCCATCATAAGCTTGTCACACTCGGGCTCCATCCATGTAGTCACAAATGATGCCAAGTTCAACCTCGGATTCCCGTCGAGCATCAGTTCGTCGTGTATTACTTGATATGCTGCTTCCTTGGGCATTGAATTTTCTGGTATCTTGAACCTGCATCCATTTATGTCATCTTTTGCAAAGTGATTTTACTCTTCAACAACTCCAATATAAAGTGATTATTAAACTAATAAATTTATCCATTTTAGCAAAGAGCCAAAGGTTAATTTAAAATATCAAGTTTACAAAATAAATATTTTATTTATAGAAATAATGGCAAGCCGAGTATAATGGGCAGGATCCAGCGTGTTAAGAACAATTCCAATCATTATGAGCATGGTGAACCGATGGATCCGTACTGAACGACGCCGAATCGAGCTAGAATAGGCTCACTAGGATATTCGTAAGAATGATCCGGTCATGTCCTTTTAAATCCGGTCATCGCTCAACGCCACCTGATAATATCTCAACTCTCTAAGTAAATCCATCTCGATCACCGTTACCTACCATTTTTCCAAAAGAAAATCTAGTAGTAGTAGTCATCCTTGAATGAGATTTTAGAATATTTTATTTCTTCAGTAAAACAGACAAAAATAAATACCACTTTTTCCACAAAAATAAAGGATGGAGGTTGAAGTACAGGAGATGGAATAAGAATACCTGGGAAGGGGATCGCGGACATATCTGGAAGCAAAAGTACTGGATTCCACATACTGCTCCTCTGCAGGAGTAGCGGTTGTAAGCACCATTTTCCTCCCTTTTTTCTTCTTTCCACGAGCTTCTTGGCTATGGCGGATTGCGTTTGGCTATTGGGAGAGATGAGTGACGCTTGAGCTTTATAATATGGAGTTAGTACCTATGGGACAAAGCAAAGCTAAAGCTTTTAAGTTGACTTGAAAAAGAAAATGTTAAATATGCAGATGGACGATTGCGATTTGATCAGTAGTTCATTGTATGGAGAGACTGACAATTGGATTTATCCGATAAGCTGCACCTCACTTTCAATCCCATAGCTTTTATTTCCCGGCATTGTTTATAAATAAATATATTTATTGAAATCATTTACTATATTAAATATATTTAAATTTTTAACCTTTAAATTGTAAACCTACTCAATTCTTATATTATAAAAATAAATTATGTATTTAGTAATTAAATTATTAATTTTAGTTTATTTTAATATTTATTTATTTAAATCATATGTAATATTTAATTTTTATTTTATTTTAATACTTGTAGTTAAAATTTTAATACATTTAATACTTAAACTATCAATTTTAATTCTTTTAATATCTAAATTTTTATTTTTTTTTTTAAATTTAAGTATGATTTAGATATCAAATGTAAGTTTTGATATTTAAATTTTCAAATTTTCAATATTTAAATTTTAATATTAAAAATGAAATAAAAATAAAATAAAATATGATTTTAAAAGTACAAATTAAATACTAAAAAAATTAAAATTGATAGTTTAAAAATTAAATTCATAGTTTTTAAAAAGATTGTTTTCTCTCTCTCTCCACTTTCTTTTACATTTCCTTTGCTTTTTGTTTTCTTTGTCCTTTCCTTCACTCTTTCTCTTAAATTATAAGACACGCAACGTAAATATACTAATGATTATGGAAAATACTTAAATACTCACCTACAGTATATAATATTTTTTTAGGTGATTTTCTCGATATATCACCGTTGAATATTATATTTTTTGATTAGACATCGTTCAGATTATATTTCTTGATTTAACACCTTTTGCAGAAAGGCGTGGTTCCTAAAATGCGTTTTACGCTGAATTGGTGCCACGTGAGATAAGACGCGCGCCCTGAAGTGCGTCTTGTGCTGACATAGTATATACGTGTGTACAGGGTATAGCGCGGTGTAGGGGCCGCGCCTTACCCCATAATTTTCCACGCGTCAGTAAGGCGCGCCCCCTGCAGCGCGCCTTGGGTATAATTATTCACCTACCCGACGTTTCACCCCCTAATCTCTCCCTATAAATACTCTCATCCTCAATCACTTTCATCACACCAATTTTTCTCAAATACTCTTATAATCTTTGTCTAAGGTATATTTTATTATATTTTTAATATTTTGTGCTTAATTTATTTAAGTATTTAATTTATTTAATATTTTATTTAATTAATTTTTTTGTAGATATAAAATGGAAGACGGTATACTTCGCTTGGATATAAATCATATATCTCGACACTTTGCTGATACGATAACATTTTAACGTTTTAATTTAATTTAAATTATTAGTAATTATTTGTTGATTTATTTAATGCATGCTTATTAGATTAATAATTAATTTTTGTAATTATTTAATTTTAGGAGAATGATTGTGTATTAGATCCATTCATTAGGAATCTTAAGTTAGTGATACCTAGTCATGTCTTGCCGTATTTAGTAGAGGCTGGATTCGGTTACATAGGTAGATATCAGGGTCACTGTAAGATAGAACCAGACCTTATTTCTGCCTTAGTAGAGCGGTGGAGGTCGGAGATCCACATATTCCATCTTCCGTGCGGAGAGTGCATGATTACACTTGAGGATGTTGTTATGCACCTGGGGCTTGGGCTTCCGGTGGATGGAGATGTGATATCGGGGATCGTGCAGGGTTATTGGACTGCTTTGTATTGGGATAATCTAGGATGTGTCCCGGAAAGTTTTAACGGTGGTCGGATACCGTTAAATTGGTTAGATGCCAATTTTCGGGAGTTGAGCGAGGACACGTCAGATGATGAAGTTAAAATATATGCACGAGCATGCATACTGCAGCTGATAGGAGGGTTGTTGATGCTGGATAAATCACGCAACCAAGTTCACTGTATGTGGTTACGATATCTTGTCGACTTTCGTCTGGCCGGATCACCCAGTTGGGGCTCGGTAGTTTTGGCTTTATTGTACAGGGAAATGTGTCGAGCCACTGACTACAGGCGTAATGCTATCGGCGGATGTCTCCTGCTGCTGCAGTCTTGGGCATGGTATCGATTGCCTTTTTTATGTCCCGTTGTGAAGAATCTATTCGTATTTCCGCTACTCTTGAGGTAATTATAAAACGGATTTCGTATATTAATCATTTTATATAGCGTATAATAAAAAAAAAATTTCTTGAATAGGTAGTCGACTGATAGGAAAAATCATCAGGACCTACCTGATGATTTAGAAAAAATTAGGGTGCTCATCGATCAGAAGGTTAACACACAGGTATGAATTTTAATGTTTAAAAATCGATTTTAGATTATAGTTATATAATTAGATTATTATTTTGATAAAAATTATATATATATTTGTTTTAGTTTGAATGGGTGTCATATTCTAATGATGATGTAAGGACGGTGATCCCACCTGAGTTGAGGGGCCCATCAGATGTTTGGATGGCGATTATCCATTTGATCTGTTATGCGACCGTCGAGTGGCACTCCACTGATCGCGTGCTCCGACAATTTGGTTGTTTTCAACCAATTTCGGAAGCACCTCGCAATATGGACGAGTTGCATAGCACAGATAGACGCGGTAAGACCGATACAGATTGGCTGGTGAGGCATCATGAGTGGTTCGTGTTGTGGGAGGATCGACATCGGCGCATTCCCCGTAGAGAGCCCATTTTTTATGACCTCTTGATGGTTGCTGACGGTTAATATGACTAGTTCAACAGAAACAGGAAATCGTTTCTGCTTCTCGAGGATGCACGAGGGCGGACCTTTCCACGACGTTGACAGAGACGTTCACCGACATAACACCATCGTCCCCCGACTCGTGGACGGAGAGAATGTACTTCCGGTTCATCCTCAGCTGCACCAGCATGACCTTCACAGCAGCCACCGTCTGCAGTGACTTACATACCGCAACCATATATTATGCCACCACCGTCATTCCCTTACCCGATGCCGCCACTACCATCACCTGGTTTTATGACCCCGTCGACGGCACTTTCATAGAGTTATATGACCCCTCCTGGAGGCTATTATGAGTATATATTTGCATATCTGACTTAGGGTTCATATGCTAGATATTTGGCAGGTTTAGCCTCATCACCCATGGCCGCAGCACAGACACCTTCTGTACAGTTTTCACACTCAACGATGTTTGGGTTTTATGAGTTTTCCCAATTTTCGCAGGCCGGAGGGATAGTCAGTCATACACCTCCAGAGTCCTTATTCTATGGAGGTGCTTCATCGTCATCATCTCCTTATCAAAAAAATTTAGCAGCTCAGGACGACGACGACGATGATGGTGATGATAATGACAGCGAGGAGTCACAACCAGTGATACGAATAAATCCTCCTCGAGACCGACAGCCACCGCCCTACGGTACACATTCGCGTCGCATGCATCGATAGATTTTGTTTTTTTATTATATTTATATTTAATACTTTCTATTGTAGTTGTTTATTGGACTTTTTTATTGTAATTTTTTTTATTTATCATTTAATGCTTACTTTAATTCGTTAATATGGTTGGATTTATTTTAATTTATTTTGATAAATTTGTTGGACTTTTTGTTATTTTATTTTACTTAATTTTGTTTATTACCATTTAATATTAGTTATTGTAATTTGGTTATCATTTATTATTTAATACTTATTGTATCGTTAATATCAGTTATTTGTTAATATAACGCCAACATCTAATCTCGTATAATTGTATCGTTTTTTTAATCTTCATCAGCGGTTATGGAATAACATTAACTTGAATTAAATGTAAATTAAAGTACAATAATTATTAATTGATAAACAACTACATCATTTCCTCATCAATTGTTACTTGATGACAACAGAAGTGAACATGTTTTTCTAGTGTGTCCTGGGTTTCTACAATGTCCAAATCTTCTTGCTTGTCTAGATCTTTCTCGAATATCCATATCGCAATGAATTCGATTGGATTTTGGACGACCACGCTCCCTCAATAAACTCGGATTTGGTACAATCGGAAGCCAATCTTAAACCTCATCAGGGTCTTTGTCATTACCTATGGGGGAACTCAAATTTGTATACCTTAAAAACTTCAGATAGTAGGTATACGTGATCTACAAAATGGTTATAGTCTTAACGTGTATGCGAGCAAGCTGCTATCACATGAGATCATGGATATTTCAGAGCTTGAAAAAACCCGCAGTCGTACGTTCTATCCCTTAGATTTACTCTTAATGACACAACTTCAATCCCTTGAAGAGGTCGCAGCAACTCTGTGACACGAAATATTTCATGCCTTCTAGAGAACCTTGTTACAGATATCCCATTTGATGTATCAATTTTTTTTCTGTAGATCTGCAACTAATCTAGGGTGATACACATGACCACCTTGCATCCAGGTAAGTGACGTGCACCCTTTAAGGTTGAATTGATTGCCTCTGCCAAGTTGGTCGTCATGTGTCCATATCGATATCCACCATCATATGCGTTCGTCCACATTTCTTTATCGATGAGGCTGATGTAATCGTATCATTCGTCGTTCTTCGCCCGCAAATCTTGAAGCATTGATTCAAACGTTCGAGGTAGAAGTTCATAACCTGATCAAAAAATGTATAACTTACTAACTTGATCAAAAGGATCAAAAGAAAACAAACTACATCAGTTTCACTTACCCATGCGCACAAGTAATTGACGCTCATCATTCTTCTTGTATCTTCCATGGTAGTTCGCAACAATGTGTTGGAGACAATACTTATGTTGGACAAATGGTGGTTACCACATTAGACCCAAAGACTCTATTGTTGCTTTGATCCCAGCTCCGCGATCTGAAATGACACAGATTTTTTCCCTCGTGATAACATGTGCACGTAAATTTCGGAGGAAAAAAGCCCAAGAATATGTATCTTCTCCTTCGACAAGAGCAAAAGCAACTGGAAAAATGTTGTGATTGTCATCTTGGACAACTGCCAATAATAACCATACAAGAAAGTCTCGTCGATCTAGACCACATGCTTGCAGTATTTGACAGCATTAACGTACAGTGGGTAAGTCCAAAAAACCCGGTAGAATTGACATCGATCACGGAGAACTCGATCATTATGGTATGCATAAGAGGTTTCGAAGTCCACAATTATCACAGGATTCAACCTCCGCACCAGCCTAAACCAACCTGGAAGTTTGTTGTAAGATGCATTTCATTCGCCATAAAGTTTGACAATGGCATTTAGTTTTGCCAACCAAGCTTTTTTATAGGAGACAGTGTACCCATATTGCGATTGTATAGCTAAAATCAACACATCAACAGCTATATGAGAGCATGCTTTTACCATGGGCATGATGGCTTGACATATCACTTCAGAGTCCAAGTTGGGATGATATTGGTTGACCCCTCCAGCACAACATGTGTGAGGACGTTGTATACATTTAGTTTCTATCTGTTGTTTTTCCTATTCCTCTTCGATACGCGAACCATCCAATTGCACCCGCTTTCTCGTCGGGCACAGTAGCATACATATTTTTCTGTCGTGGAGCAGTCGACCCTCGATTGAACAGAATTACGGATATTGTTATTTTTTATAGCCATCATCGCTTCTTCTTTGCTTGAAAACTCCATGCCTAAATATAACTCACCATTATTTATTGATGAGTAATATTCATAGTCATCGAGATGAGGTATATCCGCAAATTCTGGCCCATACATTGCACCATAATCAGCTTTATATATGTGTGCTAGAGGGTCAGTTTGTGTCACGTTTGCTGGAACTTCATCCACATCATCATCATCATCAGAGTTAAATTGCGGTGATTTTGGTGAATGAATAGTCTAGTCTCAGCACCATCCGCACCAGGCTCACGAAGCGGTTCTTCTGGTGGAGATGATGGTTCATCGATGCTCTCTACATTTAGGTCGAAGAACCTACTACTTGCACGCATTCCCCTTGAACTGGAAGGCATATCGACATTCAGATCGAAAAAGCTCGCAGTCGAATGCTTCCCCGTGGAGTTTGAAGCCATCGTGTCAAATGGAAACTGCACAGATTGTTGCGTCAATAACATCTCCATATTAAGGTCAAAGGGATTTGCAGATGAATGTCTTCCCCTTGAACTGGACGCGATGTTGCCATATGGATTGTTCGTCGACCCACCTCGGTACATATCGTAAGGAGTTGCAGATGAATGTCTCTCCATTATGGCATTAAAATCATTACACATTATTGTCGTCGGGCTGTCAACTTGATCAACTTATTCAGCCAGCCCATAGTGGGAGCTTAATGATTGACCCCGAACAACACACACTTGAATACAATTTGCATACATCTCAATATCGGCGTCTGAATAATTACTTTGAGCTTCAACCATCATTTCAACATCATTATTGTTCAAACGTTTGAACGCTGTATAAGTTAATGGCAACAATGATGTTGGAAATCTGTATTGCAACGACGACATTCTTCTACTACTTCCAACATATCTTCATCGAAATCTTCGTTATCAGTTCCTCAAGAGTTATGTTTCTCTTCAATGATATTTTAACACACTCATTTGATACGAAAACAACGCTGGTTTCATCTTCTCGAATTTCTCCATCATAATAAACAATGCTGATTAAATAAATAATATATGAACGAAAATATAACACAATAAAATTTTTACACATAAACGTAAATAATTTAAATAATATAATTTTATATTATTACCTGTACCGCAAAACTATTTCGACGTATATTCCCGCTTTCTAATTTTACAAACACAAAAATTAATTGACAACAATTAATATAATATTTTTCAAATAATCATAATAAACAATAAGTATAATAAAAAATTATCACAAAATTACCATATAATGAAAACTCGCACGAACTTCTGAATTAAATATGAGAAGATTGTTGGATTGTTGTATTAATTTTGTTCTAATCGAGAGGAGATGTGAAGAGTTACCCCGAGGAAAGGGTATTTATAGTCGGGAGAAGCTACAAGACGCGGTACATGCACCGCGCCTTACATAATTATATCAGATAAAGCTAAGGCACGACCCATGTTCCGCGCCTAATATAATTGTGTTAAAGGTAAGGCGCGGCCCCTGCCCTGCGCTATACTCCTAGGTAGCCTAAGGCGCGCCCCTGGGGTCGCGCTTTACACACGTGTATACCATATCAGCATAAGGCGCGCTTCAGGGGGCCTTACCCCACGTGGTATCAACTCAGTGTAAAGCTCGTTCAAGGGCCGCGCTTTTTTGCAAAGGGTGTTAGATTGGAAATATAGTCTGAACGGTGCCTGATTGGGAAATATACTGTTCAACGGTGATATATCGGAAAAATCGCCTATTTTTTAGGCTTAAATATAAAACAAGGGTTTAAATTATAGTTATTTTCACGAATAAAGCTTATAGTATTTTTTGAACCATACATGTGTTTGAAGTTATAAATATTATCACTTTAGGTGTCTGAGTAGTAAACACTGTTAATTTCCTTCGTTAAGTAAAACGTGTCATAATATGTTAATTTTAAAAATTTTATTTAAAATTCAAAAAAATATATAATAAAAAAACACACACAAAATTCGAAATAGCCTCAAAACTTTAAAAACTTTCACTTCAACCCCTAAACTCACATCGGCCGCCGCCCTTTGCTGTTTAGGAAGCTCGACCCGATCTCATCTACCCCAACAATCAATACCCTATGAAATCACAACCGATCGACGGCCAATCGATATTTTGTACCCCACGAACCCAATGATGAAAATCGTGATCTCATGCGATTCTGACGGCTAATTGCAAACAACTACGACGATATATGACTAGAAGGATGATATAGATTAACTCGACGGAGGTGATCGTGGCTAGAAAGGGCAATAATGACATGTTAAGGTTAGGATTTATATTTTTTATGAATTAAGGTTTTTTTGCACTTAGAGAAATTTAGGTTTTTTATAAATATAATAATATTTTTAATTTAAAAAAGATAAAATTATCAAAATATGACACGTGTCACTTAACGGAGAAAACTAACAGCAGTTACAACCCATATATCTAAAGTAGTAAGGTTTGTAATCTTAGATACCTCGATGATTCAAAAAATATTATAGTTACATATCGTGAAAATCGGTATAGTTTGAACATTTATTTTATATTTAATCCTTTTTTAACGCACATAACAAAACAACCTAAAAATAAAAACGAAATAAAATATTTGATATCAATTTTAATTAAAAAACTTTAAACACTTAAACAAAAACATAATTTAAGTGTTCATTTATTAATTATACCTTAAAAACAAACAAATATTCAAATTATAACTCATTATGGTCCACAAACAAAAATATAATCATATTTTCTAAAAGAAGTGAACAAAGGAAAAGTTTAATCTAAGAAAATTATTTTCTATGATAGCTTCATAAAGAATAAACATGTTTTCTTTTAAACAGTAATTATTTAACCATGGATTGAACGAGAGTATGTGGTCGTATCCTCTAAAAATTTTAACTTTTTTATATTTTATATTTTTCATATATTATAAATTAATTATATAATTTCATATCTTCTAAAAATTTAAAATAATTTCTTAAATTCACACATGTAATATAAATTCATGCGTTCAGTCCAGTATTTAACATTTGTTTCCTGTGTGGCAGTGAGAGGTGTTAAAATATCTGAGATGGGATTGGGAAAATGTGGTGGAGCAGTGAAATGAAAACCAAGAGGATATGCGATTGCTAACTGAGCCGTACGTTTAGTGACCCCACTGTGCAACATTATCAATAATACGAGCCAAGTGCGCTGTCTTTTCCAACAGTTGAGTGTGTTTGGCGCGAAAGGAATCCAACCAATTACATCTTTGTCGGCAAAACTTATGTGGAGGAGCTTGAGATACACTGTTTTCAAATGATAACAAGTGTATATACATCATGATAATTACTCCTTCTTTAACCATTATTAATGATTTTAGATTAATTTATGGCATTAGATTAAGATCTTATGTAATAATTTAAAATGACGTGGCATGCTTAAATTATTTACCCTGGTTTGATTATTAATTGTTATCAAATTTCTATAAATTCTAGATATCTTTTTGTTTTCTGTTAAAAAAATATTTTTACTCATCTCATAATATTTTATAAGTTTATCTTTCTTTAAAAAATTATAAATCCAGTCCACTTCTTTTAATATAAGATTTTGTATCCGTTCCTATCAACGTCCTTTTAAAATTGAGATCAAGATTTGAACTACTATCAATTATAGTTCATGGAGGTCGCCTTCTTCATTGGGCTAAGTAAAGTAAAAGCCCAAATCCCAGTTTCTGCTTCAATGGTCTCGAGACATGGGTGTTGTGTTGTATTCCCACAACTCATAGTTCCTTACAAATCCAACATGAAACCAAAACCCAACTTTCTTTATGTTTTTTTATATGGCACAACGTTAAAATAGTCTTCAACATTTATTAAAATAGTTATTTTATTTCTTATTTTTATTTTTTTTGAGTATTTTGATCCTCAACGTTTTATTTTAGAGTAAAAAAACTCTTAACATTTGATAAACTAATCACTTTGTCTCTTATTTTTTTAGTGTATAACCCTCAACATATCATTTTAGGTTAAAAAGGCTCCTATTTTTAGCTTTATTTGTGTGTTAACTAATAGGTTTAATCTATAGAGATTTTTTTTCGCAAAGTAAAACGATAGGGGCTAAAATCTAAAAAAAAAAGAATAGAGATCAAAATGATCATTTTAGTAAATGTCGAGGGCTATTTTTGGCATTATTCCTTTTCATAATATTCTTCTTTTTCACTTTCCATGTGGCTAAATTTCTTTTCTGGTGTATTGTTATCTAATTATATACCAAGTCTCTAGGTCTCTTGCAATATAAAGTCTGAGTCTATTTAACATCACAAACTATGGGTTAGTGACTAAATTGTAAAAATTTAGAATTTGGTGATTAAAGTAGAAAAGTTGAAGAGTTTAATGATTTATTTGGAAATATTTCTTGAAGGTTTTAGTAATTATTAAAGGAAACAAAGGGCAAAATGGTCATTTAACATGAAAGATATTTTTGGTTCCTTTATTAGGAGTGAAACACGTGAGTTTGAAGAGATTTCTGGAAGCCTTCTTCCTCTTGCTTTCTCCTTCCTCTCGTAAGCTCCATGGTAAAGGTAAGTTTATTTTTAGTTGTTTAATTATTGAATTTTAGAGTTGGGTTTTATTCTTTGGATGTAAAATAAGTTTAAGGAAAGCTTATATAAGCTTTAAACATCAAGAAGAAAGATTTAGAAAGGAAATTGTAAAATGAGGGAAGAAATGAATTTTTGATATAAAGAGCTTTTTGAAGTTTCGTTGATGAATTTGACTTGTCATCAACCTAATTAAGAGATATGAAGTGTTAGAATTGTATTTAGAACATATTGAAAATTGGGTATGATTCTTGAATTCTAGGTAGAGAAGTGGATTTTGAAGTTAATGATGTATTGAATGAGTATTAATGAGTTCAAGTATGAGTAAATGAGTTAAGTATATGTAATGGGATGATATAGGAAGTGTTTGAGCATAAATGAGGTGATTTTTGTGCTCAAAATGTAATTTCTGGGTAAAAGGTATTGGTACCCTATGAAGGAGTATCGATACCCCCTTTAAACGAAAAATTACATAATGTTATCAGGGTATCTATACCATAGACAGGATATCTACACCATAGACAGGGTATATATACCTCAGTTAGGGATATACCGATACCTATTATATAAGATATGAAATTGGTCTTTCCTTTAGTATAATAATTGGAAGATTAGAGTATACAATTGTATTACTGATATGTATAAATGTATAATTATGTAGATATAAATCGTAATTCTGTTCCGGAATAATCAAATGATTGGGATTGAACCAAATCAGGCAAGGCTAAGGTGAGTGCAATTTAAATTGTACTTATGTTATCAAATAAACATTGGCTTGCTATGAGCCAGTGATGGAGTTACTATGGTAAGAAGTGACTCCTAAAATGTTATTTGAATTGTGATTCTTATGTGTGCATGAGTACATGAAAATGGATACATGTGTTATACGTTATTGTATATGTTATATAAATTGTATGAATACATGTTAGTGGAATAAGCTATGTGAACTGATATAAGTAGTGTATGTGATTACATAAGTTATATGTTATAAACATGTGATATAAGATATAAGTTAAAGAACTATATGATATGATATAAGTTAGAGACATGTTATTATAACTTACTATAGGATCACAAACTATGTAAAAAAGCAAGGACTTATGTGATAATAAGAGAAAGTGATATAAATTACATGAGTTATATATATATAGAAACTGGTATAACCAACTTACACTACAGCAAAATATGTATTTTGCGACGTTTTTTTTACCTATAGCGGCGTTTTTAAGCGCCGCTAAAAACACATGCGGCGTTATGACAAACGCCGCAAAAAGCGCCGCTAAAGTTAGCGGCGTTTTTTTTAAAAAACGCCGCAATATGTTACAACATATAGCGGCGTTTTCTGAACAAACGTCGCAATAGGATTTGTTATTTAGCGGCGTTTGTCAGAAAAAGGCCGCAATAGGCGTTGATGTTTAACGACGTTTTTTCTAAAAACGCCGCAAATGGTTTTGAGAAGTAGCGGCGTTTTACTTAAAATCGCCGCAATATGTTTTGATATTTTGCGACGTTTTTCTCAAAAATGCCGCAGTAAGTTATGTTTTTTAGCGGCGTTTTTATCGAAAACGACGCAATAAGGGTTGAGAATTAGCGGCGTTTCTAGTGCAAAAACGCCGCTAAATGCATGGTATATTGCGGCGTTTCTAGTATACAAACGCCGCTAAATGTTTGGTATATTGCGACATTTCTAGTTTGCAAACGCCGCTAAATAACACAGGATTTTTCAATTCTAAAAATAATGCTTGATTACCCCAAATCTATTTTTTCAACCTGTTCCATTATCCAACAAACAAAACAACTATAACATTAAACTCTATATCCATAACAAACAACATCAAATCCAATATAATAAATATAAAATTTCATTAACATAATATAAGTTTAGTTAAACAAGTTTTAATAACATTAACAAAATGCTCATAACATACATAAATGAGACTACGATGGTGGATTCTGAGGTTGCGTTTTCTGTATCATTAGCATCATATCACTGAGTCGTTTTTCAAATTCTTCACATCTCTGCTGATATGTTGCTTATCTCTGTGCTGCCGCTGCTTCTTTCTCTGCTTCCAATGCTGCTCTCTCTGCTTCCCTTGCTTCATTTTCCGTTTTCAAGTTAGCCATTATTCCATTGTTTTAACCATAAAGATTAGGGTTTATCGATATTTGTCTATCTTGGGGGGACTTGATTTGTAATTTCATGAAACAAATTAAGAAATCGTGAGAAACCAGAGTATAAATACATATAAACAACCAATATAAAAAGTATAAGATTAAACCC